GGTAGGTAGATGGGGGTTATAGGGGAAGGTGAAGGGTTGAGGTAGGTAGATGAGGGTTATAGGAGAAGGTAAAGGGTTGAGGTAGGTAGATGGGGGTTATAGGAGAAGGTAAAGGGTTGAGGGAGGTAGATGGGGGTTATAGGGGAAGGTAAAGGGTTGAGGTAGGTAGATGGGGGTTATAGGAGAAGGTAAAGGGTTGAGGGAGGTAGATGGGGGTTATAGGGGAAGGTAAAGGGTTGAGGTAGGTAGATGGGGGTTATAGGAGAAGGTAAAGGGTTGAGGGAGGTAGATGGGGGTTATAGGGGAAGGTAAAGGGTTGAGGTAGGTAGATGGGGGTTATAGGAGAAGGTAAAGGGTTGAGGGAGGTAGATGGGGGTTATAGGGGAAGGTAAAGGGTTGAGGTAGGTAGATGGGGGTTATAGGAGAAGGTAAAGGGTTGAGGGAGGTAGATGGGGGTTATAGGGGAAGGTAAAGGGTTGAGGTAGGTAGATGGGGGTTATAGGAGAAGGTAAAGGGTTGAGGGAGGTAGATGGGGGTTATAGGGGAAGGTAAAGGGTTGAGGTAGGTAGATGGGGGTTATAGGAGAAGGTAAAGGGTTGAGGGAGGTAGATGGGGGTTATAGGGGAAGGTAAAGGGTTGAGGTAGGTAGATGGGGGTTATAGGAGAAGGTAAAGGGTTGAGGGAGGTAGATGGGGGTTATAGGGGAAGGTAAAGGGTTGAGGTAGGTAGATGGGGGTTATAGGAGAAGGTAAAGGGTTGAGGGAGGTAGATGGGGGTTATAGGGGAAGGTAAAGGGTTGAGGTAGGTAGATGGGGGTTATAGGAGAAGGTAAAGGGTTGAGGGAGGTAGATGGGGGTTATAGGGGAAGGTAAAGGGTTGAGGTAGGTAGATGGGGGTTATAGGAGAAGGTAAAGGGTTGAGGGAGGTAGATGGGGGTTATAGGGGAAGGTAAAGGGTTGAGGTAGGTAGATGGGGGTTATAGGAGAAGGTAAAGGGTTGAGGGAGGTAGATGGGGGTTATAGGGGAAGGTAAAGGGTTGAGGTAGGTAGATGGGGGTTATAGGAGAAGGTAAAGGGTTGAGGGAGGTAGATGGGGGTTATAGGGGAAGGTAAAGGGTTGAGGTAGGTAGATGGGGGTTATAGGAGAAGGTAAAGGGTTGAGGGAGGTAGATGGGGGTTATAGGGGAAGGTAAAGGGTTGAGGTAGGTAGATGGGGGTTATAGGAGAAGGTAAAGGGTTGAGGGAGGTAGATGGGGGTTATAGGGGAAGGTAAAGGGTTGAGGTAGGTAGATGGGGGTTATAGGAGAAGGTAAAGGGTTGAGGGAGGTAGATGGGGGTTATAGGGGAAGGTAAAGGGTTGAGGTAGGTAGATGGGGGTTATAGGAGAAGGTAAAGGGTTGAGGTAGGTAGATGAGGGGTAATAGGAGAAGGTAAAGGGCTGAGGTAGGTAGATGGGGGCTATAGGATTAGTGGAAGCCATTTGATATTGAAGGGATGAATGAAGACTACAGTGCCCGGGGTAGAATCTGTAGGTATTATAGTAATACTGTATGGCGGGGTAGGTTAACCTCGGCCCTCCAGCTGTGCTGGAACTACAAGTCCCATAAGACATTGCAAGACTGACAGCTACTGCTGCGACTCCCTGAGGCAGATGCATGATGGGATTTGGTCTTTCACCACAGCTGATGGAGTTTGGCTAACCCCGATCCAGAGGATGATCGCTTGTAGGGCTGCAGCTAACGATTATTTTCATAATCGATTAGTTGGCCGATTATTAAGTTCGATTAATCGGTTAATCGGATAAAAAAGAAAAAAAAAGGCTCCAGTGATGGACTACTAGTTTGTATTGAGATTGTAGTCCATCACCGGAGCAAGCTTGGCGCGGTGGAAGTAAAAAAAAAGTGTGGTGTGCAATATAGTACATTATACAGCGTCGCAGTGCAGAATACCAGCAGCTATAGAGGAATGTAGCAATAGTACATTATACTATAATGTACTATTGCTGGGATTTGTAGTCCTCTGTAGCTGGCATTATTCTCCATTGCGCTGTATATAATGTATTATTGCTGGGATTTGTAGTCCTCCACAGCTGGTGGTATTCTCCATTGCGCTGTATAATGATTATACTGCGCAATGCAGATTACCACTGACCAGTTATAGAGGAACTACAAATCCCAGCAATAATACATTATACAG